TGATTCGTACAGGAATGGATTAGCACTTATTTTTGACCTGTAAGATAAGTAATTATTTACAAAAGCTCCGCAATCAGCGCCTTTTCAAAATAGATACAATAGTATAGTACTCAAGTGCAATCAGAGCCTTGTCTATCCCACCACTTACCGTCATCCAAGTGCTCATACTGTTGTATGATCGCTATTCATAAAGTGTCATAATGTAGACAAATCTAGTTATCTGAGAGAGAAAAAAAGAACCGAAAAACACCGAAACACAATTCACTTACGAGGGAAGCAACGGCGTGAATATGAAATGGTTGGACGGAGAGATGACTGTCACATGTGTATTGGTTCCAGATAAGCTTCGCGCTAGGCCAAATCCACCCCATCCTGTACCTAGTACTACAATGCGTTCTGGCTGCTGCGTTGAGGTTGCTGTGCTGTATAAAACTTTCTTTAAATTCGTCTTTAAATGTGTGTTTGCATTTGAAATGCCTTTGCTGAGAAGGCTCAGGCGTGTTCGTAGGCACGAACAGCTGTGAGCTTGCATGGCGTATCTCAATCTGCTGAAAAATAATTTGTGGCAGAACAAGGGTTTTCTAAAGTAGCTTATATTTATATTGAGTTTGCTGTTGGGTTCTTATCACATGCAGACTGCAGTAGCAGACGGATATATGACAATATACACAATTACACACACACGCCTAATAGTAAACCTCATTTTCAAATCTGACACAAAGTTATAAATGGATGTATTTTAATCACTTAAAATATGATTTTCGTAAAAGGAACAATAATAGGGCAAATTAAGGCTGAAAATTTTCGAAATGACTCAGAAGGTGTCCTTGCGAGATTCCAGACTCAATTGCACCAAAGTAGTTAACGTATAACATTTCCCGCCAAAGTACAGACTATTTATAACCTACTTGCCATTTTTGAAATAAATAGTATTATCCCTACTCTAAGTGCGTAGCTTTCAATAATTCAAATGCATGTTATAATTTATCATAGAAAGTGTCTAATAAATATATACTACTTCTAATATATACAACCTCTGTTCTTTTGTGATACAATATGGACGAGGAACTTCACATCTTCTACACACGCCGAGCAGCATTGAGACAGCGATTGGCTAATGCCATCAATGAGGATACGTCCAGTACAATGGAGGAGAGTAGCATTAACACAAGTAGTATTGACAAGGAGGCGGATAGTGAATCAAGTAGTGACGAAGACTCCGAAAGTGAGGATAACATTACAACCACTATGATAATAACTACAATATTAACGGTACTAGCAAACATCATTCCTGTTCTAAAACAATCAAATATCGTGCCTAGAGGATCACTTGTGTATTGTTTTCGGCCATCGTTCGATGAGATCGCTGGACACATGCTACAAATGAACTCCTTCCATATTGACATGCGCATGAGCTTACCTCAGTTTTTAGTTTTAATACAAGCTATCACACCTATGTGTGAACGCGATGAAGTCATGGAAAGCCTGAGGAATGGAAGCATCGATGTTGGGGTTCAATTAGCTATAACTTTACGTATGTTAGGCGGGGGGGGGGGGGGGGGGTAGCGGAGAAGANTACGTCCACGACACAGTAGTAGTAGTAGACGACGTACGTAGTACGTTAGTATAATAACGTTAACGTTAAAGTTTAAACGG